AGTTATGAGTAGAGAAGAATGGCCCATAATAGGTACTGAAAAATGTTTTAGTATTATTATCGTCATTATTATTGTTGTCTATCTTAACTAAATAATGGATATAAACTTGAAAAATCTAATGAGATCAGTGTACCTACTCTAAGGGTAAATAAATAATTTATCTTGTTGATTTTTAAAAACATTGCTCCCACACTAAAGCAGAACACATTCTCTTTTATGTCTAGTAGTAAATCTCTTAACGTCTTACAATTGACTTTCATCGTTTACTTTTTAATACTTGCAGACTAAGCGCACACCTGTACAGATGATGTACTTGCATGGAAGTCTGAACATTGGATACATAGAAGACCTAAAGGCTCAGATTCTAGAACTCCCTTATGCTGGAGATGTCAGCATGTTCCTGTTGCTTCCAGATGAAATTGCTGATGGCTTGAACTCCACTGGCTTGGAGTTGGTGAGGCATTTACTTTCAGTTATTTTAAACTTCTGGGGCTAAATCCACATTTCACGATATGAAAGTCTACACCTTAGGTAATGGTGTGCTATTTCACACAAAAATATGTGAATCAGTTCATAGTAAACGTGGCATATCTCAAAATTTCATTTAATGCCTTAAGCATGTGTCTCACATGCAGCAGATATTTGACCAATCTGTTAAAATTTTATATCATTTACAATATAGTAAAGTTAAAGTCACTGATTTTTTAACATTTGACTTAGAGTATTTTTCCTTCTTTTCTAACACTCATTGTCTTTTTGTTTGTTTGTTTTGTTTTGATTTGCAGCTGGAAAGTGAAATAACCTATGACAAACTCAACAAGTGGATCAGTCAAGATGGGATGGCTGAAGATAACGTTGAAGTCTACATCCCCCAGTTCAAATTAGAAGAGCATTATGAACTCAAATCCATTCTGAGAAGCATGGGCATGGAAGATGCCTTCAACAAGGGCCAGGCCAATTTTCTAGGAATGTCAGAGAGGAATGACCTGTTCCTTTCTGAAGTCTTCCATCAAGCCACCGTGGATGTTAACGAGGAGGGCACCGAGGCAGCTGCTGGCACCGGGGGTGTTATGACGGGGAGGACTGGTCATGGAGGTCCACAGTTTGTGGCAGATCATCCTTTCCTCTTCCTTATCATGCACAAAATATCGAAAAGTATTTTATTTTTTGGCAGATTTTCCTCACCTTAAAATTGAAAGATTCTGTTTCTGCATAGGATTTTGCAACATGAGCTGTAAGCCTCAGAACTGCTATCTCAAATGCCAAAAATTTATTCTTTTTTTTACATATTTCTGTTCTTCTGAACAACTTTTGCTACCCACTAAATATAAACAGACATAACTAGACACCTGTCAATCATAACATGACAACTCTATTAATTATTTGTTCTCCTAAAATGGGATGATGCCCATTTAGTTGTTCCTTATGATTAGTTTATTTTATAGCATTAACTTTGACTGTGCTATTTATTATTTTATATAATGGTGTTTTTTT